CATTTGCTGTCATGTTAAACTTATATTAAAGTTTTTCTTCATTACCCATTTAAGCCGTCTGCAGCCATTATTACACTTTATTTGTTTCTTTTATTTTTCTTCACAGACTTACTATGCCTTTTTAGGGCTTTTTCTTATTTCGTACATTTTGTATATGACGTATCCAGTAACCTAGTTTCTTACTGATTGAAGGAAATAAAATATAATAAAAGTGCATCTAATTAAAATTTAAGAACAAGAATCATAATTGACCAATGAACACTTTTTGAAAAATTGTCACATTATTGTAAGTTTCTTACGTGTTTGATCATTACATGTGGTCACGTTTGATCACTGATTGTTTTAGTCATTTAATAAAACTCATTATATTAACAACAACAACAAGGACTGTAACAGACTAGGAATGTATTAAAGGTCATATTGTTATTTAAATCTTAATATTCAGTGCTATTTTATAATAAGCATGTGTGTGTAGGCTGGCTCTTAGAGCATCACATCAAAATTCGAAATCATTGATTTTGAATGTTTGTTTCAACCATGTACGGTGTATGATAAAACACTGTCTTACAAAAGACACACACCTGTGGGTTCTTGATGATGGATGACGCTTTAACGCAAAATTTTCGATACAAACTCTACGTTCTTCGCTCAGTTTTTCAGACACTGGGTGAAACTATTTTTCTAAAGAATGTAATTAACAAAAAAGCAGAGCTTCTCGAGGTGAGTGAGAGATCACAATTCTTTATACTTTTGTCAGTACTCTAATGCTTATAATTTGGAATGTAAATTATATTCTGATAAATGGAAATAAATGTAACACCTAGAGTTAGTCATGATCGATATGTGAACACCTCTGATCAAGTGATAAATAGGCAAAATATTTAGGTTTATTAATAGGCAAGTAATTTACCTTAGTGCCAGAATGAAATATGTAGAAAGATTACGTTACTTTTAGTTAAATATTTAAGATTCATAATGTATATAAGTGATTTTTAGAAAATACTACATATACACATTCTATTATTTTATTAGTGCAAGGCCCCTGGTGGACAAGCGATAAGTTACAACTTACAACACTGAAATCCGAGGTTTGATTCTCCGCTGTAGACAGAGGGCAGATAGGCCCATGTTTAACTTTGCGATGCCCCCCCCCCCCAGTGGCACAGCGGAATGTCTGCGGACTTAAAACGCTAAAAACCGGATTTCGATACCCGTGGTGGGCAGAGCACAGATAGCCCATTGTGCAGCTTTGTGCTTAACTACAAACAAACAAAGCTTTGCGATAAAAAGACAGTTTAGTTAATGCAAGTGTTCATCCATAACCTCCGTCTAATGAGAGGTACGGAACTACAAAGAAGGCTTGGGCCTTTCTTTATATAGATATATGTATATAAGGTTGAATCAACAAAGTGACTGGTGAACTCTGGTATTGGGCGGAATGTAAACGTTTTCTATTGTTATGGTCGTTTGATCCACTGTGGGATCAAGAAACTAGTTTAATGATTCGTCAGTTCTTCTGAATAATGAGCAGGTTAATTCAAGAAAATAATAATTAATAATGCATGGTGTTAAGTATAAAAAAGCGAGTCAATCATTACTGTGTCTGTCGAATCCCAGCCGGCTTGAAGAGCCTTGGCATTGTGCAAAAGGCCTCTCCAGCACTGGATATAGTAGTTACTGTGTGGTTGACATATCATCATAAAGTCTTCTTTGATTTCACTCAAAAGTTATTATTAATAATTGCGTTAACTTTTTTTTTCAAATATTTGTCGGATTCTTCTTTAGTATGTAAGTTAAATTTATTCAGTATAGCCGGGATTGGAAAGACTAACTTCAACTAGCTGGGTTCGTCTCAGTTATACTTAAATAATGTGACAATATGAACTACTTAAGGTAAGTCTTGTAGTTCTTTTTTTAATAAGTCATTTTCAGAAATGGGTGGAGGTTGGGTGTAACATATAGTAGAATTATTAGGGTGGTATTTATTCTACTTTAAGAATTTTTTAGAACTTTTAAGGGTGGAAGATGGTAGACATTATTTAGTAGAAATATGTTTTTTTCGGGTGGCTTGAATTTATCTTATTTCTACTTTTAACTTTATTACATCTTTTTAAGGGTAACTGCCTTCCCAAAATTGACTGCAGAACGTGAAAGGCAGTAAGAGTTGAGACGTTGTGGGTGTAAGCATTCAACTCTGCACCCATACTGAATTTTCTACGACTGCTGTCTAGTTTCTCATCTGCTTTTTGGATTTTGACTGATATATAGGATATCCCCAACGCTTTTGAATGCTGTTATGACTTTTGGATAACGACCGGAAAGTGACGAAAGTTTTTTTTAAATAGAGTTTTGTTAATTTATTAATATATATATATATGTGTGTGTATATGATACATCCTCACGCATATTTCAGGCCAGCTTTCTTATTACCTTATATGTTAAATATTATTATTATTACTACCCTTAGCCCCAGAGGGGGGAGCGAGGGTATTAATAACTCTGTAAAGTGAGATCGGATTTGTATCGAGTTTCATGGATACATTAAGGTTGAGCCTCCTCATCACACTACAAAATCATTGATCATTCTGGGACTGGGAAAGATTTTCTAGGTTTTCGAAAGAAAAAATTGACGTTATCCATTATAAACGCATGCAATCTCGAAAAGGAGTGGAAGGGCGAAGGTATGTAATCCCCCCTGATTTATATTGTTATGTCGTATTTATTAATATTAAATATTTCACGTGAAAAACCGATAAACAAAAAGTGAACCCTCGAACTCTAGCTAACACAACCAGTACACTGCCACTGATCTGTCCAAGAGTACTAGTCGTCTTTTTCAATTTTCGCTTATAAAGCCTCTCACGATGAGTGTGGCCACTATAGTAAGTTATGACATATACAAAATCATACAAGTACCTTTTCACTTATGAGTTTTTCAAATAAAATATTTAATATTAACTATTACGATATAGTAATATTGACATTTTACTGGTTCATAAATAATTGTAAGTTTGTGATAGACTTCTATGATTTTGGTCTTTTTATCATAAAGTAGTATAGTGATAATACTCATAATGAAAGGCTTTATAAGTGAAAATTGAGGGGTTCGACTTTTTTGGATAATTAAGTGGGTCTAGAGTTCAGATCTTGGTAACTTTTCGCTTGTCAGTTTTTCACGTCAAATTTTAATATTACTTATTACAAAATGTTAGATAAGTATTCAAAGTTCAGTTT